CTCGAAGGTCAGCCACATCAACAGGCCTCCTTCCAGAGGTTGTTGAACCACATCCACATCACCAGCATGCACATCACCTCGAACGGGATGGCGAGCCTGGAACCCGCCGGTGCCAGCCGATTCCAGCCCTTCAGCGCCCGGCGGGAGAGCGTCATCCGCCCTCCCCCCGCCTTGCTGAGGCTGGGGTTGAAGAACAGCACCGCGGCGAGCATGCGTTGCCCGAGGCTCAGGTGGGCGCCGTCGAGGTACATTGTGTCCAAGAAGAGGCTGAGCAAATGGTCGTAGTCCGCCTCGGCGCGCGGCAGGGGCCGGCCGCTGGTCTGCAGCCAGAGCTTGAACGAAGCAAAGTCGGCGGCGTAAAGCCGTAACGTAGCGGGGCGCACCGAGTGAGTCCGGCACACTGTCAGGCCGCTGGCGGCCGTGGCGCCCCGCTGCCGCCGCACAGCCCCCTTCGCCCGCGCCGCTCGGCCGCCGCGCGGCAGCGGCGCTCGGCACCGCGGCGCCCGGCGGCTCGCGGCGGCAGGCCGTGCGCCCGGGCCGCGGCGCGAAGGAAACGCCAGAGATGAGGGCGGGCTCGCACTCGACGGCGCACTCGTCGATGCCGTCGCCGAACGCCTCGAACCCGCACCAGTCTGGCGGCAGCCGCTCGGCCCCCGGTCCCGAGGCAGCATCGTCCGGGCCGCGCTCGCCCTGCTGAAGCCACTCAAGCTCGCGGGGCTTCGAGAGAGACAGTGGCTTCGGACGGGAGGGGGCAAGCAAGCCGCGAGACGGCCCGTCAGCGACGTTCCACTCCGAAGGCAGCCACCGACAATGCACCACGCAGCCGGTGGCGAGACAGAGGGCGGCGACTCCTGGGTGACGCGGCGCAGGCCGCCGCCAACGCATCCCCCAGGACGGCGATCCACCTTCCGAAGTTCCGGGTGCTCCTCAAGGCGCGGCGCAGGGCATGCAAAATAGCACGCCCCTCCAGGATCGGCATGGGCCCCTCGAAGCCCCAGCGGTAGCGACCCACCACCTTCCAGTCGCGCTTCAGCAGGCCCAACGGAACCTCACGAAATACACTTTCACGAGCGTCACGGAGGCCACTTCCCGAGACGTCGGCGGTGCTCCCCTTTCTCGGTCGGCCCCCGTCCACATCCCAGAAGCCCCCAGCACCGTTGTCGTGCGCCCCGGAGAGCCACTGCACCTCGGGGTCGTCGGAGACGGCGGCAGCGGCGGCAGCCTGAAGACGTGGAGGAAGACGGGCACCCCGAGAGAACCTCCACCGCTCGCAGTGCTTACCCAGGCCCTGGGCCTCCTCCAGAGAGACAGACGATGAGCATACACCCAGACCAGTCGTAGACGCGTCCACGGCGTACAGCGCCAGCCCCTGGGATGCCTTGAGGTTCCGCCACAGCAAGGGCGAGACCCTGTCCCAGATGGTGGGCCCCCTGACGACGCTGGCCCACAGCGGGGCCTCCTCGTTGTAGAAGCGCCGGATGAACGCGAACACCGTATCGAACACGGAGAGACTTTCTCTTCGGACCAGGCTGATGAACCCCATGTGGCCTAGGAGCCTCTCGAGGACCTTCCCAGAGACACGACCACCACGAAACACGGCACGAACGCACAGGCGAGCTCTCCAGACTCTGGCCCGCGTGGGCCTGATCACAGCATTGCGGCAACTAATATCCCACCCTAGCACAGTCCGATCGCGGGCAGCGTCGGTGTCGGGCGTATCGACGTCGGCGGTCGCGACCAACCCAGCCCCCCTGAAACCCTGGGCGACGGCGCGGGCGAGGCGGCGGACCTTTTCGGCAACAGTCGAGATGGCGACAACGTTATCAACATACTGCAAGTGACAGGCCCCCGCAAGAAAAGGAATAACACGACGATCCTGCAATCGATCCTCAAGCCGCCCCCACACCTTTCTACCAACCTCTCGTGAGCACGCTGGCGCCACCACAGTGCCCAGGTCCACCCCATCGGGCAAACCCGAAGCCTTGGATAGCCTCCCCGCAAAGGCTGCCCGTCGAGCTCGGCAACGCCGATGTCACAAGCACGCGCACGCCGAAGAGTGAACAGATCACGCAACGCAGCAGGCAGCTCGAGATGATAGAAGGCATTCGAACTTCGGAGATATATAAAGTGTCATCCTCTCCCACTTCTAGGTCCCCAAGGGTCTCGCCAGTGCGCAGGTCTCGGAACCAGGCGCTGCTATGGCGACAATCACACACGAGACGTAATCGTTGGTCCTGTTACGGCACGCAAAAGAACTCCACGGACTCTCGCCCGCGGTCGCAGGCAAAGTCGAGCAGCCCCGCTTGATGAAGCCTGGAAACAAAATCGCCCCATACGTGTAGGCGGCGAAGCGAGGGGTCGGAGTAGGGCGCCCTCACGCCACTCATCTTTCTCCACTCCAGCGCCGGTCCCGCAGGTAGCACGCTGTCGCGCACGAAGTCCGCGACGCGCCTGCGCCCGCCCTCGCCCCACAGGGCCGCGAGGGGCACCGCGCGGTTCCCCGCGGCTGGAAGTGCGAGCAGGTCGGGATTGTAGGACCCCAGCTTCACGTCCCCGTCGAGGCCGTAGACGCTGGGCACCCGACGCTTCCGTAGAGCTTCTGGGGTGTCGACGCCAGTCGGTGGAGCGCCCAGCGAGTCGACGGACTCGCGCACGTGCTCCATGAGGCGCTGCTGCATCAACGACAAGGTACCGGCACTGAGCCGCCCAGCGTCGTCCAACACAGCGTCGGGAGAGGTGTGCAAAGTATTGAGGGCCACCACAGCCCGCCGAACATCCAAGTCACGAGCATGCCGACGCCCAACCCGCTGCTGGCAACCACGAGACAAAACTCCTTCACCTCCGTCTCGGGCAGCAGCGACTGGAGGCACAGGTAGCGGAAGAGGGTTGCGAGGAACGTGTCGAGAGGCCTCGTCAACCCCGACAGATACTCGGCTAAACTCATCATGCAGAGGCGCCTCCCGCCCGTCTGGCGGGCGAGAGCCACGGAAGGGGCCTGTCATGGCCCCGTCAACCCTCGTCGTCCTTCCTGCCCTTCTTGAGAGCCTCCTTCCCTTCACGAGCTTTCTGGAGGATCTTCAACAGGGCTGCTTCTCGTTCAACTTCCTTCCGAATGCGATCGAGCAGATCAGGGCACACCATCGGGCTAGAATGCAAGCGCGTCGAGCCCGAGAAGTGCGTCCGCTCCTCGATGGACAGCCTCCCGCTCTGGTTGGCCCCCTCGCGCTCGCGCACCTTCTCGAGGTACGAGTGCTCGATCGTCTGCAGCCTGCGGAAGATGGCCTCGCACGCCTGCAGGCTCGCGCCGTCGCACTGGTCGGAGAGCAGCAGGAGGCGGAGGAACTGGCAGCACTGGTAGTGTTCCTGCACTCCCCACTGCGTCGGCTCGAGCCTTGCCACAGCTCTAAATCGATCGTGATGGCCGTCGATCCCCATGCCTTCGTTGTTGATGAAATCTATGCACCAGAACGTGGCACGAGGGCCGGCCACCAGCCAATCCCGCCCGAAGTCCTCGTGCTGGACGCGCGCGGCCATGCTGGCCCACGTCACCTCCCGCCTGGTCCCCGTCCGCGTGACGGGGAGCACCCGCGCGTCCGCGGCCACCGTACGCCCCATGAACGCCTCGAGGTCGTCGGCGGCCACCTCCTCCACGAACAGCGCGGTGCCGTCGGGGAGGACGTGGAGGTCGCGGCCCTGCACGGCGCCTGGCGACGCCACGTGCCCAGCCACCTCGTCGCCGTAGCGGAAGTCCCCGATCGACTGGGCCGCCTTCCACCGCGCCCCGCGGGCGCGGCAGCGCCCTGCAGCACGCCAGGCAGCGGCCCAGGCGCAGGGGCGCCGGCCGCGGCCCCCGCCGGCGCCGGCGCGGCTGCGCCGTGGCCGCCGGGGATCAGCGCCAGGAAGCCCGGCGCCGCGACAAGGTCCGGGCGTCCGAGCTGCGCGGCGAAGTGCTGACACCGCTGCTGCGCCAGGAGCTCCGCGTCGCGAAGGTAGACCTGCTTCTCCGCCGCAACGGGCTCGAGCCGGAAGCGATACACACGGGCGGGGTCGACCCCAGGAGGCACGGCGTTCCACCCAGCGCTCCACCGCACCAGGTCGACGTCCTCGTTGGCGCCTTCATCGTACTTCTCGATGTACGTGTCCCCGTCTGGCGCGGTCCCCACGTACTCAGAAGCCGATGGCGCCACGCGGCCTGAAACCCACCTCTGGTGCACCAGATCGTCGCCGACGTACCTGATCCACCCCCAATGCATAGCCCACCAGCTTCACGAGCACCAGGGCGCAGCAGCCGCCCAGCAAGGCGCCGGCGACCAGCCCGTGCACGAAGGAGCGCCCGCTGTCACACGGCGCCCCCTCCTCGTCCTCCCAGGCCTCGCAGGCCGGGCAAGGGGGGCAAGCCGCCGCTCCCGCCTCGCGCGCCGGGCACGCACGCTCTGCCGCCGGCGGCGGGCAGGACAGCGAGGGGCACGTCGGGCACGCGAGGGACGCGGGCGCGGGGCACGTGAAGCTCGGGCACGAGGGGCAGGTCAGAGAGCACCGCGGGCACTCGGGCGCTGACGGGCACCTGGTGAGGTAGGCCACGGTGACGTCCCTCGCCCCGCCGACCACCCACTTCCACATCCACGGCGCGCGGACCGCTCCCCTCCGTTTCGCCTTGAGCCCCAGCGGTTGAGGCGGCCCACCCCACTCCTGCTCCGCAAAACACGTTAGGATAACTACGATTGCAAACACACATAGGATTTGGACGGTTCTGTCATTATTTATCAGGCTGTTCCTGGCGCCTCTCTTGGAGCTCCCGTGTATTTCCGCGGGCTGTTGCGGCCATCTTGGAACCTCTCTGCGGCCGCCCTGACAGCCTGTCGGGGCCCTCGACGCCCGTCTGGACTCCCTTTTGGTGCTGTCGTAAGCGGTCTTGGGAGCAGGGGGTCCCTGGAAGCCCTTCTGAGGCCCCAAAACTACATGGCGATGTTCCTTTCTGCCTCCTCTCTGTATCCCTCTTT